TTTTTGGTTTTGTTGTTGAGAGATCCATCCTCCCCCAAACCTCACTGTCCATAAAGGGGTCATGAGGGTTATGTGTGCCAAGTTTGGTCTTGATCAGTCATTGGATGAGGGTTGCAGTGGTCTCGGGAATCGTGAAGGTACTCAAGTCCCATCATCCATGGTCCATCCTCCCCCAAACCATACTAGGATGTAGAGGGTCATGGGGATGTGTGCCAAGTTTGGTCTTTATTGGTCTTCGTTGAGGGCCACAGTGGTCTATGGGAACCGATGGGTTTGAAAGTACTACAAATCCCATCATCCTCCAAACCCCACCAGGAAAAGAAATAAAACGGGATCGGGATATAGTTATCGGGATCGCTTGGAAAAGAAATAAAATGGGATCGGGATATAGTTCTCTGCATCTGCCAAGTTTGGTCTTTATTGGTCTTCGTTGAGGGCCACAGTAGTCTGTGGGAACAAAAGGGTGGGGAAGTACTACAAACCCCATCATCCTTTGTCCGTCCTCCTCCAAACCCCACCAGGAAAAGAAATAAAACGGGTTCGGGATATAGCTATGCGGCATCTGCTCGGAAATATGTATGCGGTCAGAAATAAAACGGGACCGGGATATAGCTAGGCGGGTTGGATTCGGCCCGCGGGCCGTCGAAGGTCCTATGCAAACTCCGAGCGGTACGGAAGCGTGTTCGCTATTGTGTAGGCGGCGCTCTCAAGGAGGCGTCTGAGGTCCCGGCATTTCGGTGACGTGTCAACAAGGGCGGGGGGCGGGGGGCTTACCCTCGCCGGCTCGTCCTCTTCGCCTTTCCGTGTGGGTGGGCGCCCTACAACTCCCGGCGGAGACGGGACAGGTGACCAATGAGCTGCCTGACAGCTCTCTGCCCCCCGCCGGCCCCTCGGGGAGACGACCGCGAGGACGGGACCCTCTTCCTCCCGGCGCTGCTGTCCATGCTGGAGCCGGTCCTGGCCGTGCCGCGGAACAACAGATGGCCTCATTGTCTCCCGTGTTTATCCTCGACCTCTAAAGCGCTTGGCGGCGGAGGCGGTTGCGGTGGCGGCGGGGATCCCGCGATGGAGGAGGAACGAGGTCGGCTCCCTTTGTTTACTCCCGTCTGTTGTCTCTTTTGTGCCACTTTGGTCTCTTCTGGCGCTGTCCCGCCCGCTCGCTCTCCGGCTCATCCTTTTGTGTGTTGGGAGTAGAGAGCGGAGCGGCTGTCAGAAGCGGCCGTCATGTATGTGATTTGCTGCCTTCAGAGCCTGTGCGTGAACAAACACAGAAGGAAGAGCACTCTTGCATTGATGGTACAAATGGTGTAACATAGTCCCAATCTGCTTGCCAAACTATGTTATGGGGAACATTTCATACTATAGGAGGAATCTATATTAAACTGTGTATATGTATATATGTATATGTATGTATATGTGTGCATTGTATTGCCGAAGGCTTCCATGGCTGGAATCACTAGGTTCATGTTCTAGAGGCATTTTCTCCTGACGTTTCGCCTGCATCTATGGCAAGCATCCTCAGAGGGAGTGAGGTCTGTTGGAAGTAGGAAAATAGATGCAGGTGAAACGTCAGGAGAAAATGCCTCTAGAACATGGCCATATAGCCCGAAAAAACCCACAAGAACCTATATGTGTGCATGTTTGCATATATATATATATGTAAATATATCTGTGTATATGTATATCTTTGTGGGTGTATAGATGTGTGTGTGTATATATATATATCTTTCTGTGTTGGTGTATATATGTATGTTTATATATCTATGTATATGTATGTATATATGTGTATGTATGTGTACGCACACACACACATATATGCATGTATATATGTGTGTATATGTTTATAGATGTATGTTTCTGTATGTGTATATGTATGTATGTATATGTGTGCATGTTTGCGTATATATATATATATGTAAACATATCTGTGTATATGTATATGTTTGTGTGTGTATAGGTGTGTGTGTATATATATATATATCTTTGTGTGTTGGTGTATATATGTATGTATCTATGTATATGTATGTATATGTATGCATATATGTGTATGTATGCGTACGCACACACACACAAACACATATATGCATGTATGTATGTGTGTGTATATGTGTATAGATGTATGTTTCTGTATGTGTATATATGTGTGTATATGTGTTTATGTATGTATATGTGTATATATGTATGTGTATATGTGTGTATACACACATATACACATACACACATAATTATCTATACACATACATCTATACACATATACACACACACATACACGTATATATATATATATGCATGCTTACATGCATATATATGTGTGTGTGTGTGCGCATACATACACATATATACAAACATATACATAGATATATAAACATACATATAGACACCAACAGATAGGCAAACATATATACACAGATATATTTACATATATATATATATATATATATATATATATATATGTGTGTGTGTGTGTGTATGTGCATGTGTGTGTATGTGTATATGTGTGTATGCACACATACATATATATATGCATGCATATGTGTGTATGCGTGTGAATGTGTATATATGTATATATATATTTGTGTGTATATGTGTATGCATATGTGTGTGTGTATATATATATCTATGTATGTATATATATGTGTGTGCGTGTGTGTGCATGTATGTGTGTGTGTCATGATTATCTCGGCACCACTTCATGCGCCGATGGCTCAATGCTGCAGAATCATGGAAGTTGTAGTTTCCGCTTTTTTGCCAAGGACTGCGGTGCCTCGCCACAGTCCTAATAGTAGTATTTGTATCATATGCTCAAGGCGCATCTACACTGTGGAGTTAACACACTTTGGAACCACTTTAACTGCCTATTGGGGTCCTGGGAGGTTTCCCTCACGGCACTCTAAACACTGCATTACCTTTTGTAAACTTATGGATCAAAGATGCAATTCTCCTCCTCCTTTTCCTCCTTCTCCTTCTTCTTCTCTTCTTCTTCTCCATCTTCCTCCTTCTCTTCCTCCTCTTTGTCATCTCCTCCTCCTCCTTTTCTTCTTTTCTTTCTCCTCCTTCTGCTCTTTTCCTTCCTCTCCTCCTCCTCTTCTTCTCCATCTCCTTCGTCCTTGGCTTACTCTCCATCCCTTCCTCCTTCTTCCTCTCCTCTGTCTTTTCTTCTACTCCTCATTCTTGTTCCCTTCCTTCTTCTTCTCCTTCTTCTCCCTCCCCCTCCTCCTCTTCTTCCCCATCTCCATCTCCTTTTCCTCTTCTTTTTCCTCTCCTCCTCCTGTTTTTCTTCTCCTCTTTTCTCTTCTTCTTCTCCTTCTACTTTCCCTTCTCTTCCTCCTCATCTTCTTCTTCACCTTCTCCTTTTTCTTCTTCCTCTTCTCATCCACTTCTTCCTCCTCTCTACTTCCTTTTCTCCTCTTTTTCCTCTCTTCCTCCTCCTCCTTTTCTTCTCTTCTTGTCTTCTTCTCCCCCTCCTTCCTCTTTGTCTTCTTCTTTTTCTCCTCTTCCTTCTCCATCTTTTCTGTTCTTCCTCTTCTTTCCTCCTCCTCCACCTCTACTCCTCCTTCTTCTATTCCTCATCCTTCTCCCTCTTCTCATCCTCTTCTTCTTCCTCCTCTATTCTTCTCCTCCTCCTCTTCTTCCTATCTTCTCCTCTTTTTCTTCTCTCTTCCTCTTCTCTACCTCTCCTTCTTTTCTTCTTTCTTCTCCATCTCCTTCTCCTTTCTCTTTTTCCTCTTCTCTTCTCCTCCTCCTCTTCTTCTCCTTCTACTTGTATTCCTCGTCCTTCCTCCTCTTCTCATCCTTTTCTTCTTCCTCTTTCTCCTCTATTCTTCTTCTCTTCTTCTTCCTCCTTCTCCTTCCTCTTTTTCTCTTCTCATCTTTTTCTCATTCTTCTATTCCTCATCCTGCTTCCTCTTCTCATCCTCTTCTCTTTCCTCTATTCTTCTTCTCCCCTTCTTCCTCGCTTCCTCCTCTGTTTCTTCTGCTTCTTTTTTCTCTTCCTCCTCTTCCTATCTTCTTATCCATCTCCTTCTCCTTCCTCTTCTCTCCTCTGTTCTCCTCTTCTTTCCACCTCATCTTCTCCTTCGCTTCCTCTTCCTCTTTTTTCTCTTCTTCTCTTCTGCTTCTTCTTTTCTCTTCTTCCTCTTCTCTCCTCCACATCTTCTTCTCTTCTTCCTCCTCCTCCTCCTTCCTCTTTTTTCTCTTCTCCTCATCTTCTTCTCATTCTTCTATTCCTCATCCTGCTTCCTCTTGTCTTCCTCCTCCTCTTTTTCTTCTCTTCTGCTTCTTTTCTCTTCCTCCTCTTCCTATCTTCTTATCCATCTCCTTCTCCTTCCTCTTCTCTCATCTTCTCCTCTTCCTCTTCGCTTCCTATTCTTCTCTTTCTCCTCCTCCCCTTTTTTCTCCTCCTCCTCTTTCTTCTCCTCCTTCTCCTTCTTTATATCCCACCTTTCTGTTTCCCGAAAAGAGCCTCAAAGTTGTGTATGATACAAAATTCTTGAACCTGGATGTATTCTGTGAAAAAAGGGGGAGAAAAGAAGGAAGGAAGGAAGAAAGAAAGAAGGGATAGAGAAAGGAAACAAGGAGGCCTTTTCAGAGCTGGAGAAGGGAGAAAGTAGGCAGGCATGTCTTGCAGAAACAAAGTTTGGCAGTGTCACCAACTTTCCCCGTGTTTTGATGATAGAACCCATTAGGAAATGAAGGAAGAGAGTGTTACTTCTTGTTGTTGTTGTTGTTGTTGTTGTTGTTGTTGTTGTCATAATATGATTATCATCGCCTTCGGAAAGGTGTTGCCAGAGCAGGAGACAAAGGGCAGGGAATGGCCCCCTCGGGACGCCCGCGCTGTTCTTCCTCCGAGTCTCAGCAGCCCATTAATAACCCTTTGCCGTCAACGGAGCGGCATTGTCACCGCTCAGGAGGACGAATGTAAAGAGACGTTGATTCCTGACAGGTTCGCCGGAGGGCAGGAATCACGGCACAGGCCAAGGAAAAGCCAAGGGCGGCATTACTCGCGCATGAGCCCACCCTTTGTGTGACTTGACTTCACCTCCTTCTCCTTTTCCTCCTCCTCTTCTTCTTCTCTTCTTCTCCATCTCCCCTCCTCATTCTGTTCCTCCTTCTTCCTGTTCTTCCTCTTCTTCTCCTTCTTCCTCTTCTTCTTCCTTGTCTCCTCTTATCTTCCTCCTTGTTGTTTTTTCTCTTCTCTTCTCCTCCTTCTCCTTCTTCCTCTCCTCCTCCTCCTCCTCCTTCCTCTTCTCTTCCTTCTTCCTTGTCTCCTCTTCTCCTCCTCATGGTTCTTTTTCCTCTTCTCTTTCCCCCCTTCTCCGTTTCCTCTTATCTTCCTCCTTTGTTGTTTTTTCTCTTCTTCTCCTCCTTCTTCCTCTTCTCCTTCCTTGTCTCCTCTTCTCCTCCTCATCGTTCTCTTTCCTGTTCTCTTCCCCTTCTTCTCCCTCTCCCTCTTCTTCTTCTTCGTCTCCTCTTCCTCCTTGTTTTTTTCTCTTCTCTTCTTCTCCTTCTTCCTCTTTTCCTTCC